CAGTGGGGGGGTGACTAGTGACAGTGAGGGGGGTGACTAGTGACAGTGAGGGGGGGTGACTAGTGACAGTGAGGGGGGGGGTGACTAATGCCTACCTGTCTCTCTGCTTCCTCTTCTGTCCCTGGCTGCTGCTCCTTCCCCTGGCTGATCGGCTCCGTGTGAGAGGAGTAAACAGGAAGTGATGTCACTTCCTGGTCCGCCTCTCCCATCACACAGAGCCAGTGGGACAGGAAGCAGGAGACCTGGAAGAGAGGCGGTGAAGCTGCCAGGTCTCATGGGGGGGGTAGTGATTTACAGAGTGGTAGGTTGTGGGGCCCCAAGCTGCATCAGGGGCCCCACAACCTATCGATTAAATAGTTTTATTTTCGTTCCAGTTGGAGAGATCTCTGATATCTCCAGCTGGAGCATGGCTATGCAGGCCGGGCCCCTGACAGTGAGGGGGGGTGACTAGTGACAGTGAGGGGGGGGTGATTAGTGACATTGAGGGGGTGACTAGTGACACAGTGGGGGTGACTAGTGAGGGGGGGTGACTAGTGACAGTGAGGGGGTGATTAGTGACATTGAGGGGGTGACTAGTGACACAGTGAGGGGGGTGAGTAGTGACAGTGAGGGGGGTAACTAGTGACACAGTGGGGGGGTGACTAGTGACAGTGAGGGGGGTGACTAGTGACAGTGAGGGGGTGACTAGTGACAGTGAGGGGGGGGTGACTAATGCCTACCTGTCTCTCTGCTTCCTCTTCTGTCCCTGGCTGCTGCTCCTTCCCCTGGCTGATCGGCTCCGTGTGAGAGGAGTAAACAGGAAGTGATGTCACTTCCTGGCCCGCCTCTCCCATCACACAGAGCCAGTGGGACAGGAAGCAGGAGACCTGGAAGAGAGGCGGTGAAGCTGCCAGGTCTCATGGGGGGGTAGTGATTTACAGAGTGGTAGGTTGTGGGGCCCCAAGCTGCATCAGGGACCCCACAACCTATCGATTAAATAGTTTTATTTTCGTTCCAGTTGGAGAGATCTCTGATATCTCCAGCTGGAGCATGGCTGTGCAGGCCGGGCCCCTGACAGTGAGGGGGGGTGACTAGTGACAGTGAGGGGGGGTGATTAGTGACATTGAGGGGGTGACTAGTGACACAGTGAGGGGGGGTGACTAGTGCCCGAGTGGTCAGTCCGCCCCTGTATGTGCATACATACATTAAATGAATAACATTTTTTTTTTTTAGATGTTTTTAGGTCAGCAATGTTAAGTTAATTAATTAATTAATTATATTTATTTACATGTCATGCCATTTTGGGGAATGAGGAGCAGGATGTGCCTTAAAATGTTGTACCTATAGGTTCCTGACATGTAAGTCCAGCCCTGATGGGAGGAGGAGACCAAATATATTATAAACGGTCTGTCTGGGGGACGGCGCTTGCTTACTGACCTGAACAGTCACCAGTCTTGACAGCTCCTCCAGATTTTTGCACAATCAGCCAAATATCCTAAAAATTTAAGCCTATCCAGTGATGCAAAACAGCCAGTTGCACTCTACAGCACTAAGAGCATCGATAGATGCCATTTTTTCTCAACCCTCACCAGTCTAAACGGAGACGGAGGACCTGGGCCACCACACTTACACTTCCAGACCTAGAGGCACTCCTTCTCGGAACCACTGCAGCAAAAGAGAACATGGAACCTTATCCCAAGACACCCAGTTCCTCAGCCCAAATGCCAACCATGGGTCACAGATCAAAAAAGTCCAACTCAGCGACAGATTGCAGGGATATCGGGTCATGCTCCAGAGGCCTACCCAGCCCAGACTTGCCGGAGACTCTACCGTAGCCTTGAACAACGCAACTCCTCTCTCCAGAGTACCCCACTGACTCAATCCCAACTACCAAACACAACCTGAAGGTTCTGCTGGCCCACATTCATAAACTACTGGCAGCGAAACTAGCGCCCATCACAGACAACATACAGGCCATCAGAAACAGTTTACAGACCTCAGAGGAAGATATTATTAAGGTACAAATTCACCTGTCCACACTTCAAAACTTGGTGCAGCAGCTCTGGACCCAACAGAAAGTCATGTCGGTACAGCTGACAGCCTTGGAAGACCATCAACAATGCTCTCATATTAAAATTCAGGGTACCTAGGTACTGTCTCGGCAGAGGAATTACCTCACTACACCAGACATCTTCTGGCCACCATCTTGCCTCATACTACAGGGCAAAAAATGACAATAGATGGAATATTTTGGGTACCTGGTAATTTACCCTCATTACCCAATGCTAAGTTGCAACCACTCAGCTCACCTATATCAGGCATTAAATCTGTACTATGTACCGTACGCTATACGTTTGTCAGGGCTTACCTGAGTTGGGAGTCCGGCAGGCAGAGATATATGCTCACCCTTGCAAGTAAACACAGGCCGAGGTGGTCAGGTAAGAATTCACGTGGCCTGTGAGTCGGTGCACGGGGGCTGTGCAGGATAATTCTCCAAGTCGCAGTACAGGAACGGATAAAGCAGGAGAATCGTCGTGGGTAAGCCAGAGTGTGCCAGAAATCAGGATTAACGAGAAAAAAAACAAAGTCAGAGGATGCCAGAAGTCAGGATATACGGAGTAACAAGCCAAGGTCAGGAATTAACAGGAGCACACTGGAACACAAACAGCAATACTGAACCATAGTCAAGGAACTGACACTGCCTTCTGGGAGAGGCAGTGTTTTATACCTGGCTAACAAGACCATCAACATCAGGTGTACCATGAGAGACAGGAGAAACTTCAATGCAAGTCCAGCCCCCAGTACTGAGGAAGTTACGGTGGGAACCGTGACAACGTTTACCCAAACCTAGCATGTTTTGTATGAGCACATACAGTGAGGGAAAAAAGTATTTGTTCTCCTACTGATTTTGAACATTTGATCAGTCTATAATTTTAATGGCAGGTGTATTTTAACAGTGAGAGACAGAAAAACAAAAAAAAAATCTATGAAAAAAACGCATGTCAAAAAAGTTATAAATTGATTTGCATGTCAATGAGTGAAATAAATATTTGACCCCTTCGACTTAGTACTTGGTGGCAAAACCCTTGTTGGCAATTACAGAGGTCAGACGTTTGTTGTAATTGGTCACCAGGTTTGCACACATCTCAGGAGGGATTTTGTCCCACTCCTGTTTGCAGATCCTCTCCAAGTCATTAAGGTTTCGAGGCTGACGTTTGGCAACCTGAACCTTGAGCTCTCTCCACAGATTTTCTATGGGATTAAGGTCTGGAAACTGGCTAGGCCACTCCAGGACCTTAATGTGCTTCTTCTAGAGCCACTCTTTTTTGTCGCCTTGGCTGTGTGTTTTGGGTCATTGTCATGCTGGAATACCCATCCACAACCCATTTTCATTGCCCTGGCTGAGGGAAGGATGTTCTTACCCAAGATTTGATGGTACATGGCCCCGTCCATCGTCCCTTTGATGCGGTGCAGTTGTCCTGTCCCCTTAGCAGAAAAACACCACCAAAGCATAATGTTTCCACCTTCATGTTTGACGGTGGGGATGGTGTTCTTGTGGTCAGTGGCACACACAATCCATGGGGATACAGATACATACAGACACATAAACACAGACTCCCACTCTGACTCCCTCTTCTGCTTCCTCCCGTGTGGCTCTCTTATGGCTGGGAGGAGTGACCGGGACAGTCACTTCCTCCCAGCTCTATCTGATGTCATCACGGGGGCCCAGTTGCACTGTTAAAGCACTCAGCGCTGACCGGGCCCACTGAGAATCCATCTCCATCGGGTGGCCCTAACAGCATGGGCCACCCGATGGACCCCTTGGATGGCGGCCTCGGGTCCACAAAAGATGGTGGCAAGAAGCCAGTCGCAGGGGTCTGCAGGGTGGCTGGGCCCGGTCGCAGCTGCGACCCCTTGCGACTTCGGTATGTACGCCACTGCTTGCTGTCATAGGCAGCATTTATCCTCCCCCAAACACGGCGAGTTGATGCCAAAAAGCCCAATTTTGGTCTCATCTGACCACAACACTTTCACCTAGTTCTCCTCTGAATCATTCAGGTGTTCATTGGTAAACTTCAGATGGGCCTGTACATGTGCTTTCTTGAGCAGGGGAACTTGCGGGCGCTGCAGGATTTCAGACCTTCACGGCATAGTGTGTTACCAATTGTTTTCTTGGTGACTATGGTCCCAGCTGCCTTGCGATCATTAACAAGATCCTCCCGTGTAGTTCATGGCTGATTCCTCACCGTTCTCATGATCATTGAAACCCCATGAAGTAAGATCTTGCATGCAGCACCAGATCGAAGGAGACTGA